ACTGTTTCTGACAGATGGGCACAGTTCCAAGCTTTAGTTCTATTACTACTGGGGGCATGTTGCAGGCTAGTCCGGGGGAATTATCCTCAGCCCATACCCCAGACACCTTAAAGGGAAGTTCAGGTTCTTGTTGTGGCTCTTCTATGAGACTATAGAGGTGCTACTCCTCCCCTTAGGGGACTGTAAGATCTTTGCTTCAGGGGTCACCAAGGACAAAGCTACCTGTCCGTTGGAGTAGAAAGTTATTTGGGCTTGCAGCTTTCCTAAGAGGTCTCGGCCCATTGAAGTCATTTGACAATCTGGGAGGTACAGGAATTCATGGACAACTTCATGGCCCCCTAGATGACATCACTGGAGCTTTAAAAAAGGGTGATGGGCCCTGCCACACATGGCTCCCACAATAGTAGCTTGTCTTGGTGAAAGAGGGCCCACAGGTTGAGTTATTACAGAATGTTCGGTATCTACCATGAAGCCAAGGGGCCAGCCCCTCACAGTCATTTGGACCATAGGCTTCCAGGAGCCTAGCAAAATGGAGCCCGGTCTGTCCTAGTCGTCCCTATAGTTTTTCATGGCAGCTAAGCCAACAAAATGATTTTCGGGGGCCACACATGGTTGGGGCACAGGCTATTATCCCCGAACCATTTGGCTTCTGCCTCTTACCTGAGGAGTCAGATGGACATTTTCTGACTCCAGACATTCATTTTTCCAGTGCCCTGCTTGGAAGCAGCACACACATTGGTTCCACCCCAATCTCATCACTGGGTGGAGTGGCCTTTCATGCTGGCCCCCCTGCTTGCCTTGGCCTCAGCCTCGGCCTGGCAGGACAGCTCCCTGGGTGCGTCGCTCTGCCAAAACAGCAGCAAGCAGGTTTACTTTCTTTCTTTTTTTTAAAAAAACATATTTTTATTTAAAATTGTGGGGTACAGTTAAGGGTTAGGTATACAAATATGCATCGTTTAGGCACCCTTGTTGATAAGGGGTGTCTCCCCGTCCCCAGACAGATATTGACTACCGTTAATCCCACCTCCCTTCCCTGCCCCCCCCATAGTTTCCCGCCACTGTCAATCCTTTTCTTATAGTATAGTGATAGATGTTCAAGGTCCACTTATGAGTGAGAACATGTGATACTCAGATCTTTGTTTCTGTGAGAGATCACTCGGTATTATAAACTAGTTCCATCCAGGTTGCTGCAAAATTAATGATTTTGTTCTTTTTTATGGATGCATAGTATTCCATCATGTATATGTACCACATTTTTTAATCCAGTCCTCTTTTGATGTACAGCATGGTTGTTTCCAGGTTCTTGCTATTGTGAACAATGCTGTGATAAACATACGTGTGCAGGTATCTTTTTTATAGAGTGATTTAAGTCACTTTCTTTTTCATTTTTCGGTCTGCCTCCCTTTGGGCCTCTTGGTCTCAGTTGACAGATACCTTTGTCATGACCTCTATCAGCTGGCTAGCATTCATCCCAGCAAAGCCCTCTAACTTTTGTAACTTGTACCGGATGTCTCCCCGAGCCTGGCCGACAAGGGTTGCATTAATCATTTGCTGATTTTTCAGCTGCCTCTGGGTTGAAGGCAGTGTAGAGATGGAACACCTTGCATAGCCTCTCATAAAACTGGCTGGGGCTCTCTTTGGGGCCTTGGAGCACCTCTGAGGTTTTATTCGTATTTATGGCCTTTTCCCCTCCTTCCTTCATACCACCCAAAAAGGGTCTCTTGATAACGCTCAAGCAGATGATATTCACAGCCATCATTAGGGTCCCATTGGGGGTTTTTCTCAGGAAACTGACTTTGAACATAGGCTTGGGGGTTTTCCTCGGGAAACTGACTTTGAACATAGGCTTGTGTGTGTTCCTTCAGGCATGTGCTCCTCTAACAATTTTAAAGCAGCCTGAGTAATGTGGCTGTGTTCTTCAGTGTTAAACAAAGTTAAGAGGAGCTGAAGGCAATCAGTTCAAGTGGGCTTGTGGGTCTGAACGATGGCCTGCATTAGACCAATCATGGCCTGAGACTTCTCAGTATATGAGGGGTTGTGATGTTTCCAGTTCAAGAGGTCAGTGGTGGTAAAAGGCTGATATATAAAAGTACGTTGCCCCCTTGGATTTGGCTGTCTGGACTGTAGTATGAGGCACTCTGATTTCCCTTAATGGCAGTTGTAAGGCCTCTTGACATTCATGGGGAGGGGGGCTGTCAGCAAAGTTTCCCTGATGCCTTCCTGCCGGGGTATAAGGAGTTAGCACTGGTGGCTCTAGAGTAGCAGCGGCCTGGGGTGTTTCCGGTGACCTTAGGGAAGGGGTGGATTCTGGGCTGAGGCTAGCCTCTGGTGTGGCTTCAGCTGTGGCAATTGCAGGGGGTGTGGGTGGCAATGAGGGGTACAGTGACACGTAAGGTGGGGGGCGGTCTCCTCAGGTTCCTCCGACATAATGGGCTTTCTCGACTCCAGTCGACACCTTGAGGGAGCTGTTGCTTGGGCCAGCATGATTCTATAGCTGTTTGCTAGACAGACTTTTATCCAAGGTGAGTGAGAGAGGATTACATCTTGCCAATAGTATGGAAACTGGTCTGGGTGGCATGGATCCCCCACAATGATGTCAAATACCTTACTAACTAGTCTCTCGTCTAGTGACCCCTCAGAAGGCTACCCCATCCTAGATGAAGGCCAATCTACTTCGAAGGCCAGTCTACTTCACCAAAGGTCCAAGCTTTCTGGGAGTTAACTTAATACTGTAATTCCCTGAATGTCCCATTTTGAAATTCTTGACCATGCACTCGAAGGGGGTAAGCTTACTCTGATTGCCACCCATTTCCTCCCACTAAAAGGCGACACACACACAAGAAGGGAAGGGATGGGGGAGGTAAGAGGGGTGGACAACTGCTTCACCCTTCTCCAGCTATACCCCTCATGGGGATATTTCAGATGCCTTCTGGAAATAGGCAAATCGGTATAACCCCCCGACCAGGGTGCCGTACCCCTTGTGGAGATATTTCAGGTGCCTTCTTGGTAATAAGTGAGTTGGTATAACCCCCTGACCAGTTTTCAGTCCTGCTACAGGACTTACTCCTGCCATTTAGCTGTATGAAGATCACCACTGGTCCCTGAATCTACTCCCGCCGTTTAGCCATGTGAAGGTCACCACCAAAACTAAATTAGGGCTACTGCACTTGCTTTGCCACTAGGTGCTGTCTCGTTTACTGATGTTCACACAACATCTCCAACCCACCATCCAGTGCCTTAGAACTATGGTTTCATCCTCATGTGGGACTACTTGGGTAACTCTGGGAGGTGATCAGGCTCCCCTTCTGACTCTTAGGGGCCGTTCTACCAAATCGAGCCTGGGTTCTTACTAGTCTGATGGGCGGTGCTTCCCTGACTGATTCCTAGGCCTCACCAGGTTCCATTGTGCTCCTGGGGTCCTCCCCTTGGCATGTCGGGAGGGCTAGTCCCCTATAGATCAATCAGTCCACTGGCGCCAGGCGAGATCACCTTTTCCAGCATCCGAGGGGTCACACCCCAGTGACAAGGGAGGTGATAATACCATCTCAGCCTCCTGATTCCTGTCTAACACATCAGAAATGTGGCATTAATTTACAGAGAGATGGGACACTGAGGCCAGAAAGCAGTGTTTATTCATACTGGCACTGGCTCAGTGGATTTACATCCAAAGGCTGAGACCCGAGTGCAGGGGGGCATTGCCTTTTATACCTTTTTAGCTTCTTTGTTCCCCCAATAAGGCTTACATGTTAGTAACATACATTTTAATTGGATGTTTTATAGCTCAAGTTTGCAGCAGAGTTACACATGGACACTACAGATTGGGCTACATTCCTTCCTAACATAAATCTTCCTAAGAAAATTCTTATCTCATGGTGCTAGGAGCACTCTTTCACTATTCTGGGAAGACTTTTATCTTACTGTACTAAGAGGATCCTTACTCTATCCTGGGAAGGCCTTCATCTTATTAGGCTTGGGGGAAGGCCTCCCTGCCTCAGTATCTGATAAATTTGATTAGAATATTTCTTTAGGCAACAGAAGGTGGATGTGGCTGTAGAAAACTGCAAGTGTTTTTGAAAGTGGAAAGTCATTGGCAAATTATGACTAGAGAAATATATCTTATAGAGCAGTAGTCCCCAACTTTTTTGGCATCAGGGTCCAGTTTCCTGGAAGATGATTTTTTCACAGATCTAGGGGACTGGGGGAATGGTTTTGGAATGATTCAAGTGCGTTACATTTATTGCACAATTTATTTATATTGCTGCATTGTAATATATACTGAAATATATAGAATCACCACCTCAGCTCTGCCTCAGATCATCGGGCATTAGATTCTCATAAGGAGCACGTAACTTATATCCCTTGCATGCACAGTTCACAATAGGTTCACACTCCTATGAGAATCTAATGCCGTGCTGATCTGACAAAAGATGGATCTCAGGTGGGAACGTGAACAATGGGGAGTGGCTGTAAATACAAATGAAGCTTCACTTGCTCGCTTGCGGGCTGCTTACCTCCTGCTATGAGGCCCAGTTCCTCACAGGCCATGGAAGAACCCTGTTTTAGAGCATATGTGGTGAAAAAAGAAAGTGTGTCTGCATCTAAAAACAAGGCTGTTAAACCTGAAAATTACATTCGTGATTAATTGTATAATGTTGAAATAGCACACGTTTTTTTTTCTGTGATGCCTGCGGCTATAACCCCTGTTGTGTGTGACTGAGATTGAATGAGTTAGTTGTGTTTTGGCTAATTTTGTTTCTTCCCCTTTTCTCTGTTTACTTTAGTAGAAGACTTAGAAACTCTTTTCAACCCATTGATACAAATATATTAATACTTAAAAGAAGATGTATTCTAGAATATGTATTTCTGTTGACCATTATAATTTCAATTTTTAAATGTCTAATGTCTGTATTGTTATAATGGCATTATATGTGTAAAAAGTTCTCTTAATAATCATTGTTTTCATATAAAATCATTTTCCAAATATTTCTAAATATTTTCAGGTAACATGCAGAATGTACATAAGGAAGATAAATCGTTAAGTCTGAGTATGCCTATAATTACAGAAGAGGAAGAGGAGAATGAAAGTGCTAGTGAAACAGGTACAGAGGGGAATTTTGTCAAACTAGTAAAGGAAACATCATAGAGCATCAAGTTGAGAACCCTTGAAGAGCATGACAGCTGGCTGAGTGTTCTTGGGATCCTTTTCTCTTTGGCTCATTGGAGAATTCCAGTATTAATCATATCGTTGCTCATGACACTTAAAGGACACTGATAATACAGTAAATAAATGGATATGGATGCCCATCAGGTATTCTGTCAGCTTCCTCTAGTGTCTCTCCCAGGCCTCTGACCTGCTTTCATCTGGATGGTGTTCTGGCCTGCAGCAGCACTTCTTTATATTGACTGCAGCTGTCTTCTGTTTGCTTAATTTTCTTAATTTTTTTCCCTTGCGTTCTCTCTTTTCCTTTTCCTGCCATTCCCTTTTTTTTTTTCTTTTCCTTTTTTTGAGAAAGCAGGATTTATTGAGAGGACAGAAAAGCTCCCAGAGAGGAGGGGACCCCAGGGGGTTGCCCCCTTTTATTTTTCATTGGCAGGGAATATTTCTTTTTGTCACATCTTTCATCATTTTTATGTTTTTGATTTTTCTATTCTTTGCTTGTAATGATCAGTTACCTCTAGGGTCACAGCTGTTTCTAGATAGACAATTGTTTAAGTGTTGGTTATGGCATCTGCTGTGGTGGCCAGAAAGATATATGGTACTAGTGTTTTGGGTCACGTTTTCAGGGTTAATTGAAATAAAATAGAAATCTTAATCACTTTATCTCTCTTAGTTCTAGGCTAGATACCTTTCAGATCTGGCACACTGAGTCAATGCTAATTATGGGGAGGGCATATCTATATGAAACAACTTCACAGTAATTTATTAAGTAGAGATACTAAATTTTTTATTTTTTTATTTTATTTGAGTGGGAGTCTCACTCCATTGCCCAGACTGGAGTGCTGTGGCACACTCACAGCCACCCCAGTATCAACCTGCTGGGCTCCAGCAATCCTTCTGCCTTTCAAGTAGCTGGAACTACAGGTGCACACTACCCGCCTGGCTAATTTTTTATTTATTGTAGAGATGAGGTCTCACCAAGTTGCCCGGGCTGGTCTCAAACCCGTGGGCTCAGACGGTCCACTCGCCTCGGCCTCCCAAAGTGCTGGGATTATAGGCTGAGCCACCGAGCCCTTCCCGAGATAGTAAGTTTTAAATTGCTATGTCATTTTGTAGGAAAAATTAATGTATTTGTCAGGTTTAAGATTTCTTGTTGGGTCTTTGCTGTGAGGACATTTTTACTGTGTTATACCAATTAAACATCTGTCTGGTTTAAATGTATGTTATCAGTTAATTTGAATGTCAAATTTTGTTTTAGAGCTGATTGACTTCTTTTTGTCTTTAGAATTTACTGCACTCAAGAGGAAAAGAAAACGCTGAAAAAAGAGCCTGGTATAGTTTAATTTTGAGATTTCTGACAGAAGAAAAGATTTACGTTTTGTGCATTGAACAAGAAGACTATATTAAAAATAATCCTTCCGGTCACATGGCATCACACTGGATACCTGGTTCACTGTCGGGGATGGAGGGCCAGCTAGAAACCCAAACTGCACATACATATAATCTACTTATATAGTAAATCCTCGCTTGTACCCCACAACTCTAAAAGGTTAAATAAATATGTGGCAATGCCTTAACACAGTTCTAGAATGAAAGTACAAAAAATTAGAGTAAGAATGTACTCTCAAACTTAATTTTAACATTCATGAACTATGCATAAATGGAGATTAAATTTAGTATATAATAGAAATAATTTTGTTACTTGCAGATTGTTAGTAGTTCCTGTAACTTCTTGTGATATTATATTGTCTTAATTTAATTTGCTAGTACTGTTCTGTCTTATTTAAAGTCTTTTTTCTTCAGATACTAATTTTATTACATGCAAATAACTAATATTTTGTATCTGTAGTCTGGCAATGGATTTGTTTGTGATGTGTATTTACTATTTTGTATATTGTATGGTTCAGTGCAATAAAGTTTTTGCTTTGTCTTATTTTTGAATATATGAAACTTATATGGTCAATAACTTATATAATTGATAACTTAGGAAGTTCACAACTCATTTTCTAACCTCTGCAGTAAATTTAATATTTTTTATTGTTTATTTTAAAACTCCCTTTGGTATTATATATGTATGTATATATATGTTTAGATATGTGTAGCTAGATAGATGTATGTGTCTATATAGATATACATATGAGACTAGTCAGTAAATCATTTAAGTACAATACTTAAATACTAATCATTTCTTTTTTTGTTTTTGAGTTGGAGTCTCACTCTGTTGCCCAGGCTAGAGTGCAATGGCACACTCATGGCCACTCCAGCATTGACTGGCTGGGCTCCGGCGATCCTTCCGCCTCAGCCTTCCAAGTAGCCGGAACTACAGGCGTGCGCTACCACTAATTTTTTATTTATTGTAGAGACGAGGTCTCGCCAAATTGCCCGGTCTGGTCTTGAACCTACAGGCTTGGGCAATCCTCTTTCTTCGGCCTCCCAAAGTGCTGGGATTATAGGCTGAGCCACTGAGCCCAGCCAATACTAAACATTTCTGACACTTTGCTCTTGGATGTCCCCTCTCAGGGGACATAAAGAGATTGCTAGGTGATTATGCAGAACAAACTTTTGCAAGGGCAAAGTTTTCAAAAATGTATGTTTTCTTGAAGTTTTCCATTCAAATTGCACAAAACAAAGAGATGGAATATATACTGAGATGTATCAAAAAAAAATCATGGGTATCATGTAGAGGGGATGTGTGAAGTGCTTTGACGGTGGTGCCCACACTTCTTTGTAACAAGGTAGCCATAAAGAGTGTTTGCATAAGAAAGCCAGCTATGGGTATACCCTTTGAATCACAGCATAACTTGAAAAGATAGATAAGCAAGTTACTGTAGCTTTAAAAGAAAGAGAAGACAGATGAAGTATCAAGTGGCGCAGATTGAATATATCTGCACTAAGTTGGAAAAGCAGAATTGGAAAAGTAACATTCTTTTGATAAATTTCATTTTGTGATTTTGTAATTTATAATTAGAATTTTTAATCCATTTATTTAGTTTGCAAAACAGTGGCAAAACAAAGACAAAAATGAGAGTTATAATGTAAGCAGCAGCGAAGATGAGTTAGATTTAAACTTTTATACAGAGAAGTTAGAAAAAGTAAAAATTGATGTGGAAGAAAATGATAGCAATGTGATACCACCCACCAAGAAAAAAAAACAGGTGAATGTAATAGAAAGTGATAGCATCAAAAGTACAGAAGTAAAAGACAATGTATTGTCAAGTAAAGAATGGGAAGATGTTACAGAAAAAGACAATTCTCCAGTGTAAATAAATTTGGTGTACATCTTCAAACAACAGGACCACACATAGCAAGTAATATAAAAGAACTATTTTACTCTGTATTTTACAAATGAATTAGTGGATAGTGTAATCAGTCGTTATGTGGATGAAAAAATATGGAAAAAACAACTATCACACTAGTCTATTTGGCATAGATTGCATAACGACCAGCAGGAAGTTTTAGCTTTTATCACGGTTATCTTAATGTGGGAAGAAGAAAATGGGACTGCATTGCTCAAATAGAAAAACACCAGGTGGAAGGTGTCAAACAAATTACTATTGCACAACATGTATCAATGAACCTGCAATGCATATCAGTGACTGTTTTACATGTTACCCAATGATAGAAAAATATGATACAAAATTTTGATATTTTTGTCATAAGTTCCTCAGTGTTTAAAATCCCATTTTAAGGCAAATATTACAATAAAATAATTGGTTCCAATGCTATACTATTTAATATGAAGAGATTTGTTTTTCACTATTTCATTAGAAAGTGCTGTCAAATTACTGGTAGGCGATCCACAAGATGTCTTCAAGTGCAAAGGGCTAATAAAACCTTGAGCAGTACTGTAAATTTCAGTGTGTGTCTCTAGTACAGAATTGATATTCACAGAAAAAATTATGTAGCGTCATGAATATGACTTAATTTCTCATTCCACAGACATTTAAATGGAGATTGCTTGAGCCCTCTATTTGAATTGCTGCCAGTTTCCCCATATCAAATGGTTGCCTCCACCTACCTTACAGTTGATTATACTTCATGTTGCTTTTCAGGGTGGTATTATTTAGGAATTTAAATTTTGAGCTGAAGGTTAAGCAAATCTGCAAATAACCTGTGAGTGAAAATATGATATTTTGAGCTGAAGATAGAAGCAAATCTGCAAATAACCTGTGAGTGAAAATATGTGATATCTGTATATATACATATATATGTATATGTATATATACACACACAATCTTTCAAAATGTGAATGCTGACCCAAATGAAACTTTATTAGAACTTACAACTACATTAGCTACTAAAAGCAATTGTTTCTTTTGACTTCAGATGTTTCTGGTAGTAAATGGAACAATTTTCATAATGTGGGCATTTTCATAATGTACTCCATTGGGTGGAGCTTCGGGACTTCAACATTCTAGGGTTGGGGTGTGCTGGCATTAGATCCATTATTGGCCATTTGCATAGGTGGTTATTTGCTAGAACTTGTCTGATCATTAAAATTTACAAACTTAGTACAGCTAACATTCAGCTGACACAGTGAGTTGCCTCTGTTTTTCTATAAGTGTATTTATAAAGTACACAGTATCATTTCTCTCATACCTCAGCAGTGGTAGTGCCTTGCCCACATTCACAAAGGTAGTAAGTAATGCTTCTGGGATATAGACACAGGTCTCAGGCCTCTTTTTCTGTAAGCCAACAGAAGTGGAACTCTATTAGAGGGGTACTATAAGCAGTAAAACTCCAAAATGGCTTACACAAGGAGGTCAGGCACTGTGGCTCACATCTGTAAATCCCAGCACTTTGGGAGGCTGAGGTGGGCAGATTGGTTGAGACCAGCCTGGGCAACATAGCAAAACTTCAGCTGTACCCACCCACCCCGCCCTGCCAAAAAAAAAAAGCCAGGTATGGTGGCAGGAGTCTGCAGTCCCAGTTACTTGGGAAGCTGAGGAGTTCGAGACTGCCATGTGCCGTGTTCATTGTGATTATGCCAGGGCATTGCAGCCTGGGCAACAGAGTGAAACCCCTGACTCAAAAAAAGAAAAAGAAAGAAAAAGAAAGAAAGAAAAAGAATGGCTTAAGCAATAAGGAAAGTTTATTTTTAAATCAGGCAAGTCTCAATATGCAGGTTAGCTTTGGCTTGCATAGTACATCAGTTCCATGATGGTTTCATATACTTAGGTTCTGGTTTGTAGGGAAAGCTTTACATCCATGTAGGGAACTGTTCACCAGTCAAGTTTCCAGATGTTAGCCAAGGGCCAACCTTGCAAGTCAGCCTTTCTAAGTGTAGCAATCTCAAGCCTGCTATGTTTTTTTGAGTTGGGTTCTCACTTTGTTGACCCGGCTGAAGTGCAGTGATGATATCACAGCTCACTGCAGTCTTGACCTCCTGGAGGTGATGCTCCCACTTCAGTCTCCCAAGTAGCTGGGACTACAAGCCTATGCCACCATGCCCAGGTTTTTGTTGTTGTTTAAGATATGAGGTCTTGCTATGTTGCCCAGACTTGTATCAAACTTCTGGCCTCGAGGGATCCTCTCACCTTAGCCTCCTAAAGTGCTAGGATTTCAGGAGTAAGCCAAGGCCTGCTATATTACCTCTACTGCACAAGTTCGTTTCATTTGTCACTATTTCCAACAATGTTGCATTGACCTTTGTGTCTAGATTTTTGTTTACTTGTGTAGGTATTTCTGTTGAATGAATCTACACGATTTTGCTTGGTCAAATTGAGTTCCAGAAGGACTGCCGGTTTACATTCTCAATAATAGTATTTGTGAACAGCTCTCCATTCTCATTATTAATCTTTGTAATTGTCAACTGAATACAGCCTGAATCTTCACAGAAATGTAGATAGATAAAAATAACAAAATTGGATTAAGCAGATGGGAGTTGTGTAGTACCTTTGATAGTGCAGTGCTTAAACTATAGTGAGTTTTTTTATGAGTATATGTTGAAGATAGGTATGAATCACTTAATAGATTTAAATTTGAAGTTGAAGCTTATTGAACAGAGTTCAGAAGACATATTTGTGTTGAACAGTTTTCAGAATTAAAATGTGATGTCCAAATAGTTGCCATTAAATTAAGCTAATAAAATAATTGTACCAAGTTGTAAATACATGACTTCAACATTAAATATTTACCAAATGTTTTGTTGGGGAAGAGGGCTTATCGTAGTATATGTAAACATAAGCTGTATTTTAGAACCATGTCACCTTACTTTCATAACTCCCAATATGAAAGTATTGTTCAAAGCAGAGAATTGGAATGTTAGTAGTTTTAATGTTACATACTAGGTCTACTTGGGGTATATTTGAAAAACCATGAATAAAATAAGTGGAGTCATAAAGACAATGCAGCTTATATGGATGCTTAGTTAGGACAATTTTTTTTACTTTAAAGTATACTGATTTTAATTTCTTTAGAAAACTATCCTGGGAATGTGCAATTCCTTATGAGAAATCATTGTCTTTTCATTTGCAGTACTATGCAAATGTTTATGTTGTTATAAACACAGCTAAGAGCCCATCTGGGTTTATAATCCCTTTCTCTTAATGCCTCAAAGTTTTCCTAACTGAGCGCATATGTTAAATGAGGGGAAACATTCTTAGTCTCTTTAATACCCTAGTAAGGTCCTTGTTCCCTGAGATAGACACAGTTGTACTGTTTGCAAGCCAAAGGAGAGAGAATATACCAGTTTTTGGGCAAAGACTTTATATAAAGAATTTTTCAGAACAGTAATATAATGGGAGCTGCATTAAAAATGTAATCTAAATGATAAAGAAGTCTATTTCATTGACTTGTCCAGAAATAGTAGGAACTACATAGTCCTTTGGAAATGTAAAGCTATGAATGTTAAACTTCAAAATAATTACAAATAGAAAGTAAGTTTTTAAAAGTACTTGGATGCCAAGGAAACCAAAGTAATTATGTGGCAACTTTTGGGG